AATACCAAATATTACACGTATCTACATCTAGATATGTGTTTACTTATGTATCTGTGTGTGTGTGTCAAGAAGGCAAACTTTTCCAAATGTCCAGCAACATATGGCAAAGGCATTCAGACCACAGTCGATTCAGTCAAGTAAGTCATCAAATCTAAAAAGGACTTCACTTGCTTATGTCATAAATATGTATGTAAATACATATGTTAATGCATTTGTCGTAAGAGAAGAGAAATTGAGAGCCTGTATGTGTAATTTATTGTTACTGCATTCAAATTTTCATCGGCTTGGTTAGAATCAGCATGTGGAGATTTTTTCGTGAAGAATTTACATACTTACGTGGGAACACACATACATATCGTCGTTTAGAGTGCAAAACCGCGTATCTGCAAAATGCAAAACCGCGTACGTGAAGTTGTAGAAATTATTTTCTAGAGCGTAAAAACACTCATATTTCAAAATGGTTCTCTTTTTTAGAAAGCAATCGCATTTCTGGCTAGTACATTTCAGGACGAATGGATAAGGATTGAGCCAAGAGCTTGTGTGGGCAAATTAAATTTTTGTTTGCAAATTTTAGTTACGCGGTTTTGCAGAATGACGATACGCGGTTTTGTACTTTAAACGACGATGTGTATGTATGTATGTATGGATATGTACATTAGGGTCCCACCGAAAATGTATTTTTGCGAAATTTCAAGACCCTACCCCCTAATTTTATTCGTGTTCATGAGAAATGTTATTGCCTATTTTTATAGATTTTTTAAGGGTCACTTAGATAGAGATCGAGACCTATCGGTTTAGGTCAGAAAATACGATTTTGTAGATTTACGAGTTTTTTAATGACTATTTTTGATTCGATTTCAAAGGTCAAATATGATCTAAGAATATATAGGCCTTTAAAATGGTATACAATAATCTATTGTCGGACTTGGCTTGTTGGGATTTTTTATGGGGTAAATAAAACCATATTTATATTTCTCTTAATTTTTTAAGTTTTGACCATCGATCATTTCCACAATTTTAAAATATGTAGCATTGCCAAAATTACATTTCATTTAAAACAACATGATATCCCATTTATTGAAATCGCATAAAAATTGTCGAAGTTAGGCAACTTTTTTTAAATACGGCCTAGAATTTATATTGTGACTTTCAGATTTTTTGTGACTAAGCAATTCATCAATATTTACACAAATATGATAAATACAAACGCTCTTTAGCAAAGAAGTGGTTTTTCAATACCCGAATAGTATGTTAATATTCGGATATTCGAATAATGTTTAGATATCCGGATATCTGTTCTATTATTTATTTTGCAACTTTTTGGGAACAATTTAACAAATACGTTCAAACTCAGTTTAGAATACCCGGATAACTAAATGAACGAATACTAGCCGGACATCCGGATAACAAAATGAACGGTTACTAACCGGATATCCATATATACGAATATTCGAATGGATTTACAGATATCAGATTATACGGATAATTCCATCCCTAATATTTTCATTTCATTTATTAATAAAATCATTAGCACAAAAAGATCAAAAGAAAGATCTTTTACAGCGCAACAAAAAATTCATAACAGTACATACATATAACTAAAACAGCAAAAATTACTTAAGACTAAAGAACATAATATAATTAGCAGAGAAAGTAGTATTTTTAAGTGAGTTCTACAATTCCAGGACATATACTTAAAATAAGACATTCTTTTTCATATCGGACAACAAATTTGGTGTCACACTTTCGATTGGCTTAAAATTTTTTTTTATGGGTGCTATATGTACATAGAATAAGGTAACACGTGCTCGAGTAATTTTTTTTCGCTTTTTTCTTTGGAGATACATATGATCTGTCAAAGTTTGCATTTTTTCGTGATTCTGACCAATCATGTACTCCTTCAAATCATTATATCTCGGGTTCTACCCATCGTAGAGACTTCATCTTAACGTCATTTTAAATTTAAAGAAACTGGCTTTATAATGAGATTTTTGATGCTGTTTTTTTTTAACTTTTTTCAAAGATTGGTATAAGAAAAACTTGAATAACTGAACCTAAACTCTTCTAGGATGAACGGACGTCATTCAAAGTTGAACTAAGATGTGTTGGTATTTGGAAAAAAATGGGACACGAACGACTTTTTTTCACATAAATAAAAAAAAGTTGGAAAATGCCTTTCTACCGAGATCCCATAAGTCTAAATCAGAATAATATTGGCCCAGTTATTAAAGTTTTTCGTAAATTAATCTTTGAAAATAGTAAACAGCAGCATCAAAAATCTCATTGTTACGATTCTGTTGAAAAGATTTTTAAATGAATTTATGCAGATTTTTTAAGCCTAATCTGTTTTGTCATCTGAGGAAACTTTTTTCAAAAAGAAACTATTTTTATTCATAAAAAAAATCCATTTTTGAGGTATTTTCAAATCTAAATATTTTTCCGAAATATTACGGTGGTCGTCTTAAAATATAATAAATTTTGTAGTCCCGGCGGAAAAACTGCAACTTTTTTTTGGTGATGCAGTCTAATATATATATTACCTTGACCGTCGTCGGGTTGAAAAGCTTAACAGAAATCAGACTTTTACTGAAAGGAAAGCTATGCCAAGTGATTCTCGAAAATTTTAATAGGTATCTGAAGTTTGATTTAAGTATCCTTAACGATATCGATAATGTGCAAGGAATAATAACGACAAATATGTAATAATTTAATGTTTTGAATATTTCAGTAGGGAAATATTCATATTCGGCCGAAAAATATCTAATTTTTTAACGATTTTATAGCAGTTCAATGCCCCGTCTACACCATTAAATGCTAACTTATTTGAAAACAAAACACGTAAGGAAGTATAAGTTCGGGCAAAACCAAACTGTATATACCCGGCACAACTATTAAATATCATTTTTCAACTTTCTTTAAACTACATGGTAAGAAAGGCTGTGGTTTTTTACCGATTTCCAAAAGTTCCGACGATTGAGTAAAATTGAGCGAGTTTAGCAGAAATCGGCTCTCATAAATATATAATCGCCGTTCGGAGTCGGTGTAAAACTGTAGGTCCCTCCCCTTCGTGTAACAACATCAAGGCGCACGCCACAAATCGGAGGACTGTGTAAGCGCCAATCTATTATTATTAGGCCACAATTTCTTTTCAAAAAATTTTCCGCTATTTTCTTATAAAAATATGGCTCATTCAACAACAAACAACATAAAAATATAATTTCTGAACTTTGTGCAACATTTGCAAAAGTTCAATAAATTTTCATGCAAGTTTTCAAACTTTTAATCAGATTTTTTAGAATTTTTTTGAGTATGCAGATTTGTTTCCCAATAAATTTTATTATAGCAAAGTGCAAGTTTGAAGTACTAGCTACGACCGTTGATTTTTGACATTTTTTTTCCACGCAGCTTTTTCAATACAAAAAAAATATTTCGAAAATACTTTGTATGGAAAATATGCAAAACACTTTCAACAAAAAAATTCTCAAAAATCAACGTGAAACGTGCATTTTTAAACTAGAATTTAATGGGCTACAAAACTGCATACTCAAGAAAATTCCAAAAAATCTGGCGCACGCTACAAATCGATTGAGAAGCTCGTCCAAGTAATTGCACATTTTGTTAGCGCCAATCTATTATTATTATTAGTTATAAACACCTATGATTTCGCTTAACAGCTTTTAAAATATACTCACAAAAATACTAGTTGCGGTTTTTGTACTGAAACACCCTTATATACATATGTAAAAGGTCTGAGACTTCCTCAATCAAGTCATAGTTAAATCAGTATTCTTGTTTGACATTTTACTCCAAAAAATTGTTTATGAATGTAATAGTAGATAGGTACCTACATATTTTGCTGCCCATTTACTTAATCAGTAGTTTCCTTTATATTCCGAACCGTTCTTTAAACTAACTTCTTTTAAGATACGTTTGTTCCCAACAAGAAACTTCAACTAAAACTCTTGTATATTTGGATTAGGATATTTAGTAATGTCTGTATGAATGTATGTACATATATATGTATGTGTAAGTGAAATTATTGAAACATAAACTTGAGGATGAGGCTGCATCTGCATATTTATCAAGTAAATTTATACAAATTGGGCGTATCTTCCGTTTATTTCAAATTCTACTTGATATTAGAAAATATTTGTTTGATATTTGCAGTTCGAGCATTCATGCAACTGAACTGTGAAATGAAAAGAAAACATTCATAGTTTCGCTTTTGAATCGGTTCCAATATTCTACCATACATCTCAGAGCCAAATTGGAAAACATGAACACTTTTACAAAACAACTGGCAATTGTGAGCTCAGCTGGATTGAATGTGGCTACTTGTGAAAGATTTTCACTTACTACACATTTGAATGAGCGCATAGAATAGGGGAGGGAAAACTGAAAATTCAACGGACTATGAAATTGACCACATTTAAAATTTTGCAAAAAAAGTACTGCGAGTTTCCTTTTCCGTTTTACTCCTCATTTCGCATAGGGAAATTGAGAAATTGTGTTTGCTTATGCTAAAATTATGCAAAAGGTGTAAGCATTGACGTTTCAACCACTTGTCCCTTGCGTGGGCTGGGTTGGGCTGCAACAAATGGCTATGGATGTATGTACATATAAACATACATCTACACCTTTATACATATAAATACTAGATGCTCACATGTGCGCTGCTTGGGCTTTGCAGACAATTTTGCATAGTTAAGTTGAATTTTTATGAAGCGTTAAACTAACACAAAGTGGTCATTTATAAAGTAACCAAAGCCCGAGAAAGAAGTGTATGTGCTCAGCATAAGTAAACATATCGATTGAGTTCACATCAAAGGGGCACGTGCGAACTGAAAGGGTTTTCAAGTATTCGAACGAAAATTTCCATTTCCATTTTCATTTTCATTCATATTTGCATTTTGTATTTATTTGTAAAAGTTTTTCGTCTTTAAAAACACCGTTAATGCATAAATTTAACCATTACCTTATTTCTCCTTTTCATCTTTCAGCCTCTGATTGTGGGGATAATAATTCGGCGACAGGGAATTCAAGCGATCGTTGTTTGTCCCCCCAAAGTCCGACAGCATTTGCCACGCCACACGAAGAACACCAACAACATCATCAACTGCCCACTCTCAAGTCTCACTTGTTGGATGTTTTGCACCGCTCTGACAATGCGCAGGAGGGAAAATTCTCCGCCGCACAAGATGTTGAGCCTATGAGAGACATAGAGTCAGGTGCGCTCAATTTGACCAGTGAAAGTTCTCGACAAAGCTTACAATCGCCATCGCCGTCTTTGAAGTCGTTGCGCGCCAGTCGTACGTCACCAGCAATAACAACCGGTGATTCTGCGGCTGTGCCCCTCTCTAACAACACATATCCCATGCCAAACTTCTCAACACAACAGGCCCAATTGGCTGCGGCGGCGAGCGCAAGCCTAAGCCTAGGCAGTCCGCTATTTTCCCTCCCGCTCAGCACATCGATTTCCCCGCAAGACTTCACCCAGTTCCAGCAAGCGTTGCAACAACAGCAGACCGCTTTGCATCAGCAGTTCCAAAATTATATCGATATATTGCGCAGCGGTGCGTTAGGGATACCGCCCGATGATCCAAGCATGGCCACTCAAGTCGCCGCAGCACAGTTCCTATTTCACAGTCGCATTCAAGCGCTCACACAAGCCACGCAACAGTTACAATCACTGCAGAAGCAGCAGGAGCTGCAAAAACAGCCGCATCTCCATGCATCACAACAACAACCATTAGAAGAAACGCCGAAATCTCGCAGTATGCACACTTCTACGCCCACTCACACGCCCTTACATAGTCCGGCATCATCGCCGTTGCCACTCCACACGAATTTCAATACCAGCACCCACAGTCAAATAACGCCGCCCAATCCAGGCACTAGCCTCAAGGTCAGCGGGATACTTACACCGAACACTATCAGTGGAGCCCCACAAACTCCCCAAATGCTAAAACATGCTGCTGGTGCGGCTCAGCGTTTAGGCGGTGAACCGTCGCCGGAGGAGACTACCGATCTTGAGGAGCTGGAGCAGTTCGCCAAGACATTCAAGCAACGACGCATAAAGTTGGGCTTCACGCAAGGCGATGTTGGCTTAGCCATGGGCAAATTGTACGGAAATGATTTCTCGCAGACGACGATATCGCGTTTTGAAGCATTGAATCTGAGCTTTAAGAATATGTGTAAGCTGAAGCCGCTGCTACAGAAATGGCTGGAAGACGCAGATCGTACGATACAGGCGACCGGAGGGTAAGTAAATTAAATCATTATAAAAACTTTTCCTAAGTTAGTTCATTGATTTCAACTGACGTAATCTGGTTTAACCAGATAATAACGTCAAATAAGGACAGCATTTCTAAGTAGGCCAATATTCCGTTCGTTGATCGCCTCGAAACTGAAGTATCTTTTTTCATTACATAATTGAGAAGTTTTAGATCTCAGAAGATCCAAAAGGGACATATAGCGTGAGTACTGCGGGGGGAATATCTTGCCTGCCGGCTGCTCGGCGCCTACAGAAGGCCCTTAAATTGGATAATTTGAACGGGCTATGCACTTTGAAAAAACCCGACGGAACCTACACTGTTACACCTGAGGAAACAAGCAGGCTTCTATTGGAGACCCACTTCCCGCTGCATCACAAAAGGCCCAAGTACTAACGTCGACACCGTTAACGCAGTGCGTGTGAACCAAAATGGCAAGAGGCCTAGCGGACAGAATTGTCAACAGTGAACGGTTGCAGTGGGCTATTTCAACGTTTAATGCATAAATCTCCTGGTCTGGATGGTATTTATCCATTCCTGCTGCAGCAGGGCCTTGGGTCCATATCCGGTACCATACTCAGACTTCTGAGAGCAAGCCTACTTCTTGCTTACATTCCGACATCATGGAAGGAGGTAAAGGTCATATTCATACCCAAAGCGGGGAAGACACAAGATCATCTCCCAAAGGCGTATAGACCCATAAGCCTAAGCTCTTTTCTGATCAAAACCTTAGAAAAACTAATTGATTTTCATATCAGGGAAACCTACCTCAAGGTTAAACTACTTTGTGAAACATGCCTATCAAACAGGGAAATCTACCACTACTGTAATACATGGCCTAACCCAAGCTATTGAAAAGGCAATGGAGTATAAACAGATTTCCCTGTGTGCATTTCTCGATATACCGGGTATGACAAGGAAGGACATTCCTAAACTCATAACCGACTGGGTCATAAGTACACCGAAGTCCAGAACCATAATAGTCGAACTAGAAGGTAGTAGGCAAAAGGTAACGGCCACTCGTGGCTGCCCTCAAGGTCTAGAGGTCAGAGCTCCTAAGGGGATGGAAGGACTTCCAAGTTACAACCCAATGGCGCTCGACAAAGGGTAATCGGCAGTCCAAAAGATTCATAACTCCCTCTCGAGGAATCTCCGAACGGCTGCTAAATCTTAGCAGAGAGGGTTTAAGAACTCTCACCGGATACCTGACAGGACACTGCAGACTGAGGTGCCATTTGCACAAGATGGGACTCTCTGAGGAGACGAACTGCAGGCTTTGTGGGCTAGAGGATGATCCGATGATGATATACTATGTGATTGTCCGCGTATAACTCGATTCAGACTTATACACCTTGGAGAGCGAATATCGTCTCCATTCAGTATCTGGAACACGACACCCTCAAAAGTGCTTAATTTCATTAACAGCCTAAGGTTGGAGTGACTCGATAAGGGTTAGCACAATAGATCTAGCTATGTAGGTCGCAGGGCTATATATGCCCTAACAATAATAATAATAATAATCTGTGTTCATATTCTGGTTTAATGGCGAATTTTCGGGCCTTGCTTAGGGGTGTGATAGCAGTTTGTCTATTAGTTAATATACAGTACCGCTACTGCAGGTTGGGTTAGGTTAGAAGGGCGTGTGTGGAATACCCCATACTTTCACTCGGATACAGAATTGTCCATTGTGAATGCCCTCATTAAGTGAGTGTCAGAAGGAGACACGTACCTATAATCGAAATAGTAGCTTCAAGCCATTATTCAATGGAAACAAGAACTATCCCTAATGATGCCGAAGGGATCCAACAGTACCACCTCCGCTATCTCGCCCAGACAGTTGAACAAATGCGAACCGAAGTTCTTGAGGCGCTTTGTCTGTAGACCTAGACATCGACACGGAAAGTCAATTGACGCTTCCTCATCCTCATCATGGCAGCCTCTGCAGAGAGTACTTGTTTGTATTCGCCACCGTTGAAGTGTTGGTGATATAGCCCAGTGGTCCTGTGATAACGCCGGTAACAGCTCTTACCGCAGATTTATTGAGTTTCAGTATGTGCCTTGTCTTTCTCCTACTTAGCCGCGGCCATAATAATCTTTTGATCTCCCAGTCTTCCCGTTTGTTTCACAAGTCATCAGTCGCGGCCACGGTATATTCATAAATTTTTCAAACGTGATCACTAAAAGGTAGTAAGACGAAGATATTTGCTAGTTCTGTTGGCATCTCTGAGCCGCATCTGGATATCTCATCAGCCGACTCATCCCATTCAATATTGCTATGTCTTGGTACCCAGCATAGGGTGACGTTGATACGGCTCAGTGATGATGCCAGCCGATTTCACTATTTTAGCCTTCAGTGCTGCCTGACTGTCTACAAACAAATAGTGACTTTTTCTTCTGGAACTCTACTACTAAGTAAAATATAGGCCGCCCTCTCTATAGCAAAGATCTGCACTTGGAAGACACTGCAGTCGTTCGGAGGATGGAAGGAAAGGACCGGTTGATATGCAGGTCCTTCGAGTAAACACAGAATTGGATCAGCCTAATCTATACTCTAGGCTATAGAGAAGGCGGCTAGTCTTTTACTTATTAGTGGAGTTCCAGCAGAAAAATCCAGTATTTTTGTCGACAGTCAGGCAGCACTGAAGGCAATAGGATCCAAAAAAATTGTAAGTATGTATTTAATTGTTGCTACTCTACGGATATTTTCTATTTGAAAACGAAGTAAGATACTGACAACGCTAAAACTCAGTTACGATGGGGTAACCGGTTCGTGCGTGATTAAAGCTTGAGAATAATTGGAAACTAGTTTTTCGTAGTTTCGGAAAAACTCAGCTTACTCAGCCCATGTTCTATACATGGTTTCTTGAAAACGCTATTTAGAGCGCTCTACAGCTGAATCTACTTAGTAAGTATACGGCCTTTAGCTTTCAAAAGGAAAAGTCATATTAACTTCAAGTTTTTAGAATATTTCTACTCATATCGGTGGTTGTTGAAAGAACTGGCCCTCTCTCCATTACCATCATCATTGCCAATACCATTACCATGGCAGGGCTATTTAAATACCGCTTTACTATTACCATAACCCAAATGGAACACTTTTTGGATTTATGAATGCTACTATCTTTAATTTGTAATCTACAGAGTTTTCGATCCTGCTGCCCTGCAAACAGTGAGTACACCGGAAGTTATGGGTCGGCGGCGAAAAAAGCGTACGTCTATTGAAACCTCAATACGGGGAGCGCTAGAGAAAGCCTTCATGATGAATCAGAAGCCGACAAGTGAAGAAATCAGCCAACTGGCCGATCGTCTATGCATGGAGAAAGAAGTGGTACGCGTTTGGTTTTGCAACCGACGACAGAAGGAGAAACGTATCAACCCCTCAATGGACAGTCCGACCGGTGACAATGGCAGTGAATCGCCCTACATGATGATGATGCACTAAAACACCCCTTCAAATAGAGCAAATGAAACAAAGTAAGAATATAACTATTAAGTGTTTAATTAGGCAATCAAAGTAAAATTTATAAAAGCGAAAATTGAAAATAAAAAAATCTCCGTGCAGGTATGGGTTTGTTTGTAGTCCAAATATATACATATGTATGTACATATGTATTTTGAGCTTAAGAAGGTCTCATTTTGATACAAAAATAAATAAAAATTTATGTGCATTCCTTAATTGAATATTTTATTAACAACTAAATTCCTTTTTTTAAATACAATCTGAAGTTACCCTTGTGTGCAAGTTTATTGAAATAAGTTTATGAATCTATGTTGTATGTTCATTTACATAATGTACATATGTACATATGTATGTACGCATGTGAAAATTTAGTGAAAAGGGTAAATAGTATTAAAAAAAAATGAGTTATATGTATTTATGTAAGCACCTACATTACCAGCCAGTGTTGTGAGTGCGTTAGTGGGTAATTTAGGCATAAAAAAAGAAACAACTAAAACCATAAAAACTTATACTAAATTAAGTGAAAAGTAAATACATGCAACCTTTATAAAAAAAAAAAAAAACAAATATTATTTTCCAGGAATGAACAGGGTATGTAAATACATAAGCATGACGACCACTATAATCTTACGTGACACTATGTTAACTATAAGTTAAATGAAAACCACTATAGTCAAGTTACGTTTAAAGTTTACTAATATATATATATATTAATGTATGCACATATGTATATATATATATATATGTATGTAAACTTCATATGTCCGTAGGTATTAGGCACTTAGTAACTAACAGTAAGTTAGTAATATTTAGCATATATTTATTTGTTTTTAATACTGTGATAATAAGTAGTGTTTTACTGAAAATCTTCACAATAATTATTCCTGTAAAAACCCAATGAAGATAATTTATTGCAGTAAAATAAAAGTTTGAAAAAAAACAATAAAAATCTGGGCCTTATTTCTTACTAGTATTTCTTTACATGCATATGTATTTTTGGAATTTGTGCTGGGAAATGACAACCGTTACGTAACGAAGGGTGAGTAATGAAATAATGGAAAGTCCTTTCTAAACTCGACTTCCTCTACCATCACTAAAGAATTACTGCATTGAATACTTTCAACGGTAGGGCATGGAGCATTCGTTTGTTGATCGTGGCCTAACCATTTTATAAACATTCCAAACACTAAAAAATATATACGAGGGTCTTATGAAAACTACCCGGCCTTGAATAGAATAAAACGATTTTTTTAACGAAATTCAATTTATTTTTCAACATAATCTCCTTTTAGCTCGATACACTTAAGCAAACGTTTTTCCCATGTTTTGATCCCTTCCGAATAATAGGTTTTCTCCAACCCTTCAAAATAAGCATTTGTTGCTGCAATTTCTTCATCATTTGAGCTAAATTTTTTCCCGCCGACCCATTTTTTAAGATTAGGAAAGAGGAAAAAGTCACAGGGGGCCAAATCTGGAGAATACGGTGGATGAGGAAGCATTTGGTAGCCTAATTCATTGAATTTAGACATGGCTACGACACATGTGTGTACACGAGCATTGTCTTGATGAAAAAGAACTTTTTTTTCAACAAATGTGGACGTTTTTCCTTCAAAGCCTTGTCAAAATCACCCAATATTTTGCAGTAGTATTCGCCATTAATTGTTTTTCCTTTTTGTAGGTAATCAATATGTATAACCCCACGCGCATCCCAAAATACTGTGGCCATAACCTTGTTTGCTGATAATATCGCCTTTGCCTTCTTTGGAGCTGGTTCACCACGACGAGTCCACTGTTTTGACTGTTCTTTGGTCTCTGGTGTGGAGTGATGAATCCACGTTTCATCGACAGTTACAAATCGACGCCAAAACTCCTGGGGATTTGCGTTTAACATTGATAAACAATCATTTGAAATGGAAACACGTGTTTGTTTATGGTGTGTTGTGAGTAATCGCGGCACCCATCTTGCGGAAAGCTTTCTCATATCCAAATGATTTTGCAAAATGTTATTAACCCGTTCAATTGAAATGCCCACACTCTCACCAATCTCACGCACTTTCAATCTTCGATCACTCATTACCATATCACGGATTTTTTCAATCATTTCTGGTGTAGTGACCTCATTTGGACGACCTGAACGTTCCTCATCAAAAATGCTCGTACGGCCGCGTTTAAATTCAGCTACCCAATATTTTATAGTTGTTAATGACGGTCCAGAGTCTCCATAAACTTCGTTAAATTCCGATTTAATTTCGTCGTTTGTTTTCTTTTTCAAAAACTAATATTTTATCACTGCTCGATATTAAATTCTTTCCATGTTGACAAAAAGCACAAAAGTAACTCAATTCTAACACGTATAAAATTTGTTGTAAATGTCATATCGCTGAGAAATTTTGACACGTGTTATTTGAAGAGTTGTATTTTTTAGCAAAATATTTTTTTTTAGTTCTAGCAGCGCCATCTCTATTCAAAATCGGGTAGTTTTCATACGACCCTCGTACATAAGTATTGGACACTTTTAGGTGGAAAATCCGGTAGCGAAATTAATATTTATACTGGTGGCAGAAATAATAAACTAACCTTATTTAGAGCAGTTTTGGTTATAAATCTTTGGTTTATTTAATGTTTAATATATTTTTGTAAAATTCTAGCTAGCTATATAACAAACACCATATAATTCTACATATCCAACTTTGTACAAAAATAAAAAAAATCAACTAATTTTCACCAAAATTTAAAATTGTTATTCAGAATTTTTTGAAAACTTTTTTGGTATGCAGTTTTATAACTCATTATGTCATCAGCTAAACCTTTACTATATAGCCTGATGAATTATTTTATGCTAGGACCTAGTGCTGCAGACTAGTTATCAACAATCGCTTCAACTTATTTCTTAATAATTAGTTAACGACTATTTTTAAGTATGTCCTAACTGTCTTCGTTTGAAAATGTAGAATACTGACATTCATTCATTCATGTCATTCTCCCCTGCCGAAGCGTGGACGCAAATGACCGAAACATTTATGCGATTGTGGCATTAAGCTCGATCACCACAGAGTGGGGACAGAGCCTCTCACCCACAACAAATCTGGCATCGAACCTGTAAAGCACAAAGTAGATTTTATCATCGCGTAATTCTAATTTTTACGTTGTTGCTGGTAAGGGCTATGTGAACACAGCAAATATGGTGAAAATGCACCTCATCTGAAAAAATTCCTTTGCTGCCAAATTTAAGTTTTGATTTAATATGACGGATTGTATTCTTTGTGTGAAAAATTAACCGCAGCCTATGATTACGGAACAGCTCATATTCGGATAACCCTGTAAATATTCATAAAATAGTAGTTTGCATAGATCATAAAAATAAGAATAATAAATTTAAATTATAGTACGCAGCAATAAAAAGCAAGCCATGTAAGTGGATAATGTGTAGTGGCTACATACATACATATGTATTTATGTACTTGCATACACACATACATACATATCTGCGGACATTTGAAAGAACAACTTAAGTCTACCTTTCACGGAAAACCAAAGTAGCATATGTCGGAAAAGCTCTTTTTTACCATCAGAGCAATTAATTTTACTTAAAAGAAGACTGAAGAAGGATTTTAAAAGGTTGTGAATAGCGATCAAATAATTTAATATCTATTTCAATATACAGTATATTTTGCTTAGCTGCCCATCCTTCTTTGCACGAAAAACTTGTGCACTTAACCGAAAAAAGCACTTAAGCGAATTTACTTTACTACTTCAATGAGGAAGGTATCCGAATCCCTATGAAACCAAATAATGGAGGAGCACTTACCACGTAGAAATTACTGCGAGCGAAATTTTTACCGAATGGTATCTAATTATCTATATAACTACATTAATTGATAGCCATTTTCGTTGTTCTGCGAGATGAGCAAAATAAATAAAAGCTTGTAAAATTAGGTAATTGTAGGGCCAGTGCAGGTAAACCTAATACTTTCTTTGATAGTTAATAATAGTTGCACAATTTTTAAGGCAGGTATCGCCAATGTGCAGGTATGTTGAATGCACCTATCGGAGGAGTTTCCTTATAAATGTTAAAAATAATGCCGCTAATGCGCATTTAAGGGTAGGTATCTTAAATGTGCACTTAAGCATAAAGGCAGCAAAGCAAAATATACTGTATGTACAAAATTTGTTTCATTGACGGTGAAACAAGGTTTGTCGACTTCTGCTATTTTTCTTTTTTGTCTCTGGCAGATAGACTTAAGTGGTTCTTTCAAATGTCCACAGATATGTATGTTTTATGTGTCTTCACGAAAGTATGTAAATAAAGTGCAACTTATATTTTTTGTACGTGCATAGTGTGCAAGTCTATTTGAGATGCATGCGGACTGCTTCCAAGAACTATTCTTCATTAAAAAATTCACAACCGAAACACGCAAATATTATACTTACTTATCATACATAATGCGGGAAATGTGAATTTGTTCGTGGCACGCAATGATTCCATTTTCATCATTTCTGTCATAAGATATGGACTTGCATAAATTTGCCCCTACTTTGCATACAAACAAGTGAGAGCTGCCTTTTTGCGTGTGTGAATATTGCATGTGTGATTGTAGGCACTTTGAGATCGCAGCCAAAAGAGCGGCTTTAATTACTCAAAGCGTCCGACTGATGACTGGAGCGAAGCGCGCTTCAGTTTATCTACGCCCCATCTCTGCCTCCCCCCTACCTTAACTGGTCGAACGGGCGTTGGGAGATAATGAACGCGGCGATTGCTTGCAATTGATACAATTACATAGATGCAGTAAAACATACAACTTATATTTAAAGACAAGCAAGTATATATGCAATATTCGTACACACTCTCATATGTATGTACTTACAAATTTAGGATGCCGCACATTAGGATGAAATTTAATTGGCACATCATATATTTTGCTAAGCGCTTGGAAGTCCTCACTCCCTCCGAATGGCAGATGTTTTTATAAGGAGCCGTTTCTTATCATTAGAAGGTTTCCGATTGTCTGCCAAGGTGCGACCGCTATTAGAAAAAAAATATTTTTTTTTGGGGATGTTACTCGGATGAGGGTTTGAATCTTGGCCTTACTCGGTGCTCGTGTGCAACACTCACCCACATTAGGATGTCTCAACAAAATATATGCTTAAGCTAATAATAATTTTGGTCTACTTTTTAATTTGCCTTGACATATATACATTTATCCTTTCCGCCACTATATAAAAATTGTGCTTGGCAAGTATAACGCTAAGCTGAGGAAAAGGGGCTGATTGGTCCAATAGTCGACTGTTATGTTGTAACATCCATAATGTCGCTTGGGTGTCCTCCGGTCAAAGGAAGAGTAATCAAATTGGTCACATTGTGATAGACGATATATATTCTGGGATCGTTTTGGCGTATGTTAAATCTGAGGAGTATCGACGCGGCTCACTACCAATAAGCCAAGGTACGCATATGGCACTATACAAAAAGGCATCGCGATGAGAGTTGCAACGGACAACCGGCTAGCAATTTTCTTTAAACAAACAACTCCAAACCGCCTATCATACCAGTACGGAGCAAGCGACTGGCTGTGGTCATAGGCCCACTCTTCACGGGAGCGAAAATCCAAACCGGGAGTACTGGTAGAGGGAGAGGAGATGTTTTTACAACGCTTTTATCAACTTGCAATGTTGTGTGTCCATCGAATGCTTTGTATTGCATGCGCTCCACGT